GGGGTTAGCCCGAAGTGATATAATGTATAGGCCTGTTGTGGTTCAGGGTCTTTCATCTTTCAGCTGCCTGCGTGCATGTTGGAGGTGCAAGATACCTGAGCGTGTAATATACATTTTTACCTGTGTTCATTGAATAAATCAGCACTGTTTTGAAGTTACTTGGACTGCCTCGTCTCTCAGAGTTAGCATGGTTAAAAGTACCGGGTACAACAATGGCAATATCACAGTTGTCGTTCTGTCAGGCAGTTAATTGGTTTGTCCGCCACTTATGTCGAAATGTAAAAACTGCAAGAACAATACTTTAGTAGTTTATAACAAAATGCCGGCAGAACTAGTGACATTCCAATAAGCCCCAGCTGTGCTTTGTATTTAGTACAAATTGTAAATGTTATCATGCCGACACATCAGACAAAGGTGGTGAACATGAACATTATACAGAGCAAAACTTCATGTTCCACTAGCTTCTACAAGTGGGTGCAGTCTCTCATTCAGCATTTCTTTTATCTGTTTATCTTGAACATGCATGTTCCTGGGGTTTACATTGCATATTCTAAGACAAATAAGGCAACGAAAGCTTTATGATTTTAACAAAGTTAAACAATAATTACTTTGTGAGCACAGTTGAAACTACAGCTCCCATTCAAATAAATAAAATAAAAAATAACAACAACAATCTCTTTTAAAGTAATTTGTTCATCTTTCTGGGTGTAATCTGTGTTGTCTACAAACTTTTACAACATCTGGTCTTGTTACTACAGGCATGTCTGAACTAACCATGACACCATGAATTGCTCATGGAATTGCCTCTTCTGTCAAACCATGACATGTAGCCTACCAACATCTGTGGGCTTATAGGAAATTATGTTTTGTTAGCTAAAAACATTCACATTTAAAAAAGAAGTTAACTTTCACCTGCTACACATCTAGTTTGAGCTCAAAGCACCAATGTGCCTTATTACAGTGCATCCTCACTTAGGCTCTAGACTCTTAAGGGGTTTTTCCATTATAGGAACCTGCCAAAACATGTCGTACCAAGTAATGCAAGTCACTTGTTTTGCGTTTGTTTCGACTAGGGTGCACCTGCTCTGGAGGTGTGTTCTGGGAGCTAAATTTTGTCACCCCTCAGGAGGTAGTACTAAAATCAAGTACCAGGACTGTGTTGGGGGAGGGGGTCTGTGCATGAGTAGCGGCCGGTGATTGGTTAAATGTCTGCATCTTCACACCTCAAGCATTAGCATTACAAGCACCATGTGTAAACACACAGCTGACTGCATGTGTGAGAGGGGAGCAGGCCCTCCCTCCTCTAAACAAAGACCAGCAGAGAGAAAATACAGTGGAAAAACAAAGCAGGGTGGCCCACAACAACCCAGAAGCTATGGTTTGTGATAGTTAAGGGAAGTATGGGGTGTACCACTCGTTAGGTTCCAATAGCAGAAAAGCATCAATAGTCTTGTTTAGCCTTTAAACCTCTTTTCACAGATAAGCAAACTAGATTCCTCACTCAAACACTTACAGGATGTAAAAGGATGCATATATTTCCAACACATATTCCTTGAAAAGTAGCTGTCAAAGGGAATCTATGCTAAGGAGTTTCCATTACCATTCACACTTCCCAAAACTTGCCCAAAGGTTAAAAGCATAAAGGTAAAGAAACCACCAGGAGTGTTAGGTCTTTTCTGAGTTCAGTAAGCTACTCACAGACTGAGAACATGTCTGAGCTGATTTCACCCACTGAACAGCTGAGATAGTTGAGTGGTTTCCTATAGGAACAGTTGAAGTACGCAGTGCTGGAGCTACTGAACATCATGGTGTCTGGACTGGGCACTTCACTGTTGTTCACGATGTTCCAAATCTGATTGCTGGCATTCTCAGCTACGTTCCACGTCATCTTGGTGCTCGGGTATCCACCATGTGAGGCACACGTCACCAGGCAGCCAAGGTTCTCACCATTACAGGACATTGTAACTGTAGGTTTGCTGTACCTGGCTACAAGAAAGAGAGACACAAAGAAAGTGGTCACTGTCAATCCGTAATGTGTAAACATTTCTGAAATTAAGAAATTAGGTTTGCATCATGCAAATTTTCAGTGATCATCAATATTTTTACCATTTTTAAATCTATGTAATTTTCACATACAGTATACTGTATATGTTAAAGAAATAAAAACTGGCCATTCTGCTGCTTAAATGTAGTCTATTTCATATTGTAGGCACTACCTTTGGTGGAAAAATTATTCATCACCTATTTAATTCTAACATAGTGTTTTAAGTGTTTAAAACCAAAACTCCTACTGTAGCAACCTAAAAACTAGAATTACCACTTTGCGGTTATATGCCTCTGCCAATCAGTCAAATTCATGGGTATAGGACAAATACAAGGTCACAGTAACCTTTGACCTTTGACCACCAAAATCTAATTAATTCATCTTTGAGTCTAAGTGGACATTTATGCCAAATGTGAAGAAATTCCCTTAAGGTGTTCCTAAAATACTGTGTTCACAAGAATGACACAGTTGCAAGGTTGCTGACCTTGACATTTGACCTATTGCAGGCACAGAGCCATAATTGGATCATTACATTGCATTTTTAAATGTTAACACACATACCTGTGACACTGAGGTGGATCTTACTCGATTCAGTATTTCCCTTGTCATTATAACTGATGATGCATTCATAGACCCCACTATGTGAGATGTTCAGTCCATCCATGTACACAGTTCTGTCACTGAGGTTCAATTCTGTGTTCTTCAATTTCATCCTTTCTATCGTATATTGTTTTCCAGTATCGTTATCTCCATAGTAGCCATTCACAAACAATATTGGTGATGTATCCTTCTGTAGGTAGAAAAACCGAATTGCCTTTTCTTTGGCAAAGGGGCAGTGAAAGGTCACATTTCCGCCAACCTCCCCACTGAGCTGAATCAAATCAGAGCCTTCTGAAAAAGAAAAGTACTGAAAGTAAGTAATGGAAGGAAGCCTTTGTGAAACAAAATCAAAGTGTCTTATTGGAGAAATGAATGCAAGATCTGGCAGGTATAAAACCAGAAACATTTGTAGGCTATTAAAAAGTCACACCTGTATTTATTTTATTCACAGGTAAATTGTGTTTCATACACATCTGTTTCCAGGTATGAACACCATCACCATTTAAAATATGTCTGAGTTGGTATCATTTTCATGAAGAACAGATTGTTTAGTTGATCAAATAAAAGTGTGGATAAAAAATCAATTACCTTTGTAATATCAAAAACAAACAAACAGTTAAGATAGGATTTGACAAAAGCTGGTTGGAATATTATTGAGTCAAGCCAAGAATGATTTATTATACTGTAAATTGTAAAACTAAAATGGTTTGTCATCTTGAAGCACAGCTATTCTTACTTTAGGGTGTGGGTGTGAAGGTCAGGGTTTTTTGTGGGTTTTTTGAGAATCCCACTTTATGACGCGGTAGTCTAATCTCAGTTCCTCTTCATCCTAGCTGACCATTAGGTTTAAAAGACATGACTAGTCCCTTTCGTTTTTTTCACCTGATTTAAAGGTTACAGTTTCAGAAGTGAGCTGAAGGTTTTACTTTTCATTATCACCTCGGATGTGAATGTTTTTGGCCTTCCTTGTAACTATCACACTCTGTTTAGTTTGTCCATCATGTGATTGATAGATTTTTAGTTGCTAACTTGTCTGAAGTTTGATGATGGGCAGGTAGCTAGCTGTTTATCGCTGTTGTTTCACGGGGAATGAGGATGACAGGACTGTGATATTAGGTTTATGGGCCTGTGAGGAATGATTAGACAACAGTGTTAGATATTAATAAATCAGTCAGATAATTATTAGACATTAATGTGTTGAATCAAATATATTAGTAATGCAATTTAGTAAGAATTAATGTCTGCTCTGTTTCAAGGTTGACCGATAGAATGTTGATTCTGAAAAGTGTACCTTGACACCAATTGTTTTCTTGTATTCATCCTGTGTTAGAATTATGTCTGAGTGAATGTTTTAGTTACGCACCACGTGACAACACACGCACACATCGAAATTCTTCATTTTTGTTATGACTAGTGCTCGAAGCATGCGGAGCATAAGATAAGAAATGGAGACATTGGACTGACTCCATCTCGTGATGTTTTGCATTCTTTCTATGTAAGGGGTTAGCCCAAAACTTATAAATGTATTAGGCTCTGTGCTTCCGGGACTCTTTTTTTCCAGCAGCCTGCCTGTGGATGTCTGGAGGAAGGAGCCACCCAGGTTGTGTTTTATAATTTTGCTTGTGGTTTAAATAAATCAGCACTAAAATGAAGAAAGACGGACTCCTTCCTTACTCAGATCTGTCCAATAAAAGAACTGGGGTATAACAACAGCTTAGAAAATATTCATACTTCTCTTCTTCCTAAATGTTACATCAGGAGATTGTTAGCCTACTAACAACAGCTGCACGGTAAATATGAAGCTATGGCCAGTAATTGGTTATCTTAGCTTCCCACAAAGACTGGAAACAGCGAAATCTCCTATTTTGGCTGTGGTTTACAGTCATTTAGCTAAAATGGTGTAACCTCCAACACTGTTGGTTTATCTTGTAATAAATTTAGTGTTGGTTCACTTATGTGCGACCAAGCATAGTACTGTGAAATGTCAGAATTGCTCACCCGTAACAGAGAAGGTGCATGTCATAATCCAAACCGGAGCCAGCAACCAGACAGGAAGCCATGAGTTCCTTGGAAAACAGAAGGAAGAATAATTATTTGTTTACATGATTGCCTAGGTAACACTGGGCCGTTACAGTAATACAAAGGGGTGCACTCAATTCAGCTGTATGAAAATGTGAGTATGTGTCTTTGTACAACCATCCAGAGTCGACTCCAATTTAGAGCAAAAGTGATAATAACTTCAGTTTAACAGTAGAGTGCTTAATCACATGTTCACCTGTTAGCTCTCAGGTCAGACTAATAAATGTTGAAAGAATATTTTTAGCTGTTTCCTGGCAATGTTTTGTGTTTGACTTACAGTAAGGCTACTTCCAATATCAATAGAGAAAGGGCATTTGAATCTTGACAGTAACACCGATCTTAGTAGTCTTTATTTTCATGACTGCATCACTGGCTGATGTATCTTAAATGTCTCACCCAAATAAAAATAACAATAAAATGTGCTGATGAGGGCTGGACTCCTCTAATGACTGTATATTTCTCCATTGTAATAAACATGATAGATACAAAGGGCAGACAATTTCATATTTCAAAATAATAATAACAAAAAGGAAAGCAGGAAGGGTACTTACAGAAAATAGTGTAGGTTGCAAATGGATGCCTGTTAAAAAAAACAAACAAGTTCATTGTTGTGATAGGATTGATTACATTGACATTTAACTGGGATTTTTTTTTTTACTGTTGCAAAACATCATTGATCAGCAAGAAATCACTAAAGTGGGAAGTTCACAGTAGAGCACTCATGCAATCAATGATGGTGCTGTTAGATATTAGTAATTATTAGACATGAATGTGTTGAATCTTGTGTTAGTAATGCAATTTAGTAAGATTCAAAGTCTGCTCTAGTCTGCTCTGTTTCAAGGTTAGAATCAGTGTTGATTCTGAAATGTGAGCTACAGTTACCACGACACCAATTGTTTTCTTGTATTCATCCTGTGTTAGAATTATGTCTGAATGAATGTTTTAGTTATGCACCACGTGACAACACACGCACACACACACACACACACACACACACACACACACACACACACACACGTAGAAATTCTTCATTTTAATTATGACTAGTACTCAAAGCATGTGGAGCATAAGATAAGAGAAGGAGATGTCGGACTGTCTCCATCTCGTGATGTTTTGTAATCTTTTTGTGTAAGGGGTTAGCCCCAAAAACTTAGAAATGTATTAGGCTCTGTGTTTCCGGGATCTCCTCTCTCCAGCAGCCAGAGTGTGTGTGCCTCTGGAGGAAGGAGCCACATGGGTTGTGTTTTTAAAGTGGTTTCACTTTAACCAGTTTCACACTAAACAACGTTTTGCAAATGTCAAGCAGTTCCCACATAAAAAATGTGTTTGCAGCTTATTTGATGCCAAAGCATCATAACCTATATAGTCTTGTTACCGTGAAGTAACATAGCAGGGCAGGTAACGATCGGTAAATTATATTACGTCATGTGGGAATCCCCAGTGTCTGAACCAATGATCAGTGCTGTAGCTGTTGGTGTTAAACTGTTGCATTTGAAGAGAACAAACGCAGTCACAGATGCCGTCATTCTGAGTCAATAGAACACACCCTGTATTGCTATCTACAGCAAGTGTCCCATTACCATGACCACAAAAATATGTTAATCAGTACATCAGCTATAACAAGGAAGCATTTCTCCCACATTTACCTCAACCTTAACATAAATTCATGATAGAAAATAAGAAATACTTCCAATATAATACAGGATAACATTAAAACCATAAACTGTAGCCTCAAAAATGTGGAATCAAAACCTCTGACAGTTAAAAAAAGCTCACACAAAGGTTGTAATGTACCTAATTTGGAGCTATTAACAGCCAAATAAGAGTCACAGAAATTAGCAAAAGTTAAAGATCTATTAAAATGACTAAATCAAAATTAATTAATAGTATAGAAGACATGATGCCTATTCTTTATTTTAGCCTCACAATGACTCAACAATGTCACATTCATTCAGGTGATTTTCACATTCCATCTGGTATCACGTTCTCTGAAACTACACGGACTATTTACAGTACTGTGGCTATCAGCCTTGGGAATTCCCTGTGATGTTGGTTCTGCTAGGAGAGCAACTGGAAAGGCAGTAATTCTGATACATTGTGTCCTGTATGTCAAGGTATTTCCCACTGGAACTCCTCTTTTATATCAAGGTCCTTCCTGTCGCAAATGTGATATTCTGTGAATTTGAATTTTCAGATTCAAAAGAAAGACCTTTTCTCAAAAGAGTGCAAGACTGTCTGCCTATGGGTAAAGTGAGAACAGGGCATAAGAAGGTGTGATACATTCTGACAGGTAAACAGATTCCACTGTCCCTTCATTCCATTCATTTGTCCTGTTACTAAAATAAAAACAGATGTTTTTTGTTCACCTGGGAATTTCCTGAAATTTTAGGTCACTCTTCTTGACTAACAAATGACATCAAAAATTCATTTCCTCATAAAATAGTCTAGATAAAGTAACCCATTTAAAATTTTAAAGGAAACATGGCTTTTCTTGTAGTAGTTTTTACACATCAATACTATACCATATGTACTAACTGAAAATAGATGGACATGTTCAGATCTTGTTTTCTGTAATACCACATACAAAGAAATAGAGAGCAGATTTCCCCAAGCAGGTACCAGGACTTACCCACTTCAAATAAACAGTGCAGTTATTGCTAACTGGGACTTTCCTTTAGTTTGCTGAACATTGTAAACACATTTTGGGTGTGTTCTTTCATGATAGAAGAACTGATTTTTTCACTGGGTGTGAAGGCTCAGTCATATATCTCAGACAATATTGTTTTGTTTTGTTTTCTGCTTGTGTATCGAGACCAAGTTTATTGTATGCCTTTGTACTCAACACAGAATTCACAAAAACTAATTACTAATTTTGTAGTATGCAAATTTAACAAGTTACTGGTGGTTTGAGAGAAGCCTATGGAGATTTACAGGGTAGTTGGGTGTCTGTGTGGGTGGATGTGTCAGTTCTTTTATTGGACAGATCTGAATAAGGAAGGAGTCTGTCCATCTTTCTTCATTTTAGTGCTGATTTACTTAATCAGTTTCACCCTAAACAACAATGCAGCAGGAGAGCATGATTTTATTTTATTTTTTTAGCTGCCACTGCTACTCAAGTTAAGGTCACTAATCAGGTTTATAAGTATTTTTAGACTCCACACATGGGTTAATTATATGGTTAGCTCACAACAGAGTCATATATAGTATATACTGGAAAACTCATAATCCCATAATAAGTCAAAGTTTAAGTGATTCCCATTCTTGTTAATACACTCATGATTCATAAACATCCTTCTGTCTTTGTCACAAATATTGTTATATACATAAAGCTGAGTAACTGTCCAGATTTTTTTTTTATCCGGTGCTCATATTTCCACATTTCCACAATAAGATAATATTGCAATTAGATTACTATTGCAGTAGATAAACATATTTGTCATATCCATGTAGGTCTTTATTTTTGGCTAAAACTTACTTAATTATTATGTTTACTGTTTCTCCTGAATACTATGATCCGGAAACTAAAACAGCTGCAGGGCGCTTGAAATCTTTTCCTTTCAAGACCATGAGAAAAACGCATACATACATGTGCAAATAGCGTTCTGCTGCTGAATTAGAAAGATATGTTAATACATAAAAGCTACTTTTTATATCAACATGTCATTGGATTATTGTCAAAATAATAGCCTTAATCACCCTTAATCACAAGAAAAATAATTAATTGTTTTTAGCTCAGAAAAGAGAACGAAAAGAGGCAAACCCCAGCTCTTACCATTTTGCTCTGTCTGCATGTGAAGAAATGAGAACGGCACTCCCTGATGAAGCTTTAATACTTTGTGGTGGGAGGAGCTGCATGAGTCATGAGCTGAAGTTCGTAGTTAATGATGACTTGCAACCACCATTCTAGAGTATGATTGCACAGTAACCTTCAGTGCAATACCTGCATATATATACCTTGTACAGATTATACAGACTTGTACAGGTCTCTAGTTCTTAAGTACTCAGTTTTATCCCTATTTATCTAATTTCAATGAACTTTCCTTTGTTGTCTGTATTGTTTACTGTCTGTTTATGCTGCTTTTTCTGCATTGTTTGCAAAACAGTATACTCGTCACATCTGGCTTGTGCGTAATACATCTGCTGCTAACCGGCTAACCACAGTGTGTTTCACATTCACATTTTGGTCTTTGTTCTTCTGTCATAGAGCATCCTTTCACTTCTGATTTTTGACCACTTTGTGTAATGAAATGAATACTGTAATGATTCATTTTATTATTCACTTAATTCCCGTTGATCACATCCAAAAGGTCAGATTCCCATCTTACTGAACTGACAGAACTGAACAGGACAGAATCTCTAACATATACAATTTAATTTTAACATTTATGTTAATATTTAATTAGGCTGTTGAGGAATAAGTTTCTGATGTTGCTTCCATGGTAGCTCAGTGAGAGTTTCTTTGCACTTTGGTAACCTTTTCATAGCTCCTTGTACTATAAGTTCTGTTCAGCTTTCATTAACCTCAGGATACTTTCCTCTGAAGTCAAGAAAAACTGGTTAGAAGACAAGCTTAAATGAAATGTTGCTGCTTTGTAGGAAATCACTTCTTACTGGGAAACCATGCCATTCCTGAATTTAGTCACAACTAAGGAAAGATACAGTCAATATGGATTTGCTGGTATTCCCCACGTGTATCCCTGAGATTACAGAAAAACACCCAAGGACTATCCAGCCGCCTCCTCACTTGCCCTTGATTAATCTCCAGTAGTCCCATTAAGCCTGTTGCAACACTTTTTGTATATCACTATGTATGTTTGTGGAGTATAATGGTAGTTTCTAGTAATATATAGTAACCAAGCTTTATGTATTGGATGTGAGGATATTAGAATTGTGATGTCCTGGCAAACTTTAAAACAACAATGAACTATAAAACAGATGACAAGGAATTACAGAACATCTTATGTATATGACCTAATGTTGATGTGAACACACACAGCCTAAGTGGTGAACAGGAATTTGCTGGCCAGTAACAGTATGTGGGAGGAAAGGCAAATCAATTCTCATCATTATTAATTTAAAACATGAAACATATTTTGCTTTGCGTACACCGTTTAGCTTACTACAAATTCCAATATATATTATTCCATAATTTTGGTATTTTCAGTATTACTTTACAATGAATAAATAAAATTGCATTATTTTAAACTAAAATAAAAAAATCTCAAACTGTTATTTTCAGCTAAAAATTCCTGATGTGACACAACCTCATTTACAAGCCACTAGACAACAGAAAAGGAAACGGGTGTCTTGTTCTTTCTCAGAGCAACCTGTGTGAGAAAAAGCCAAAAACAGGTCGACCGAGACAAATAAATGGCGTAAGTAAAGTGCGTAGGATTCAACTTCCGCTGTATCACGTGGTATAAAAGAGCGTAGTTGCTACCGGTAACCACGCAAGCATAATCTGGGAGAATACACACAGACACGAGCGTCAGATTGCTACAGCTTCTCTCAGTTAATTGAGTTACACAAATCTCTGTGAAAAAAACACAGCAACATTTGGTCGCAAACAGGTATGAAACCAAGAGTTCAATTAAGTTGCTGCCACGCTGAAGTCATGATAGTGAGCTAAAATGCGTAACTTCAATAGACAGAGGACGTGAGCTAGCGTTAGCTTGCTAGCTGATACGATTTCTCTTCTCCCATGGCCATTGCCCAGGTTAGCGATTATGCTGCACCGCGACATGTTTTAGTATTTTATATGCAAATAGATTAAGATGCGTGGACAGAAAATGATTGAACGCATGCCGGTGTAATAGACTAGTGCGTTAACGTTTCAGTGCTAGCACGTTTAAGATAGTTAGCTATTAGTTTACCAACGATTATCAGCACTTACAAAACTAGTCTAGTGCATTCGTCACAGATGCTAAACGTTACGTAAAACCTTTAAGGCGAAGTTACCATAGTTGGATAGACAGTATATCGGGAATGGCTAATATGGTCTAAAAGCTGTTCTTTTTTTCTTGTTTATTGGTCGGCAGAATATCAATATTAACGTTATATTACATATTAGGACAAATAATTAAACTACCCGAGGTTTAGCTGAAGATAGAACCCAGTTTGTACCTCTTTTGGGTTATCAGGCTTCAACTGGGACTCGCCCTGAAGCAGCAGTAACTAATCAGGCTCCATGGTGCTGTAACATGTATTAAAATGTGGACGGTTTGAAATAAGAAAACTGACAAAGCTACAAAATGACCTTTAGACTCAACAAGCAGATGTACCTGTTTTACACAATAACTACCATTAAGCCATATCATTTCTATAGTGTGGTTCTTTGCAATATTGCATTCTTCAGCTTTCTGACTGTCGCTACAATAGTTGCAGGTAAAAGATGCCCCATGGTTCAGGTGATGCTCGCAAGACGTTTATACTGACCACAACAGGAAACTTCTTTGGGATAAAGCCTCCTCTGTCCTTGGCTGACAGTTCAGAGCTCAATAACTTCTTGGACAATGGAAATGAATTTGTTCTATCCGTCAGTGGACATGGCAGCCACCTTCACTTGTCAAATAAGGTAACACAAATGCTGAATGTGTCATTACAGTGTTAAAAGATTTACCTTATGGCTCAAAGGGCAAAAGTCCTAAGCTTTACTCAGTGGTTGGTAATTGGTTAAATGGAAATTATATTTTAAAGGTAAACCATAATTCACAAATAAAAAGTCATATCAAAAATGAGATATTGCTTTAGGAAATGCTGTGTGTAGCACAGGTTATTGATTTCAAATATCAATGTTGTCTTTTTTTTAATGTATGCATTATATTTGAAAACAAACTGTTCATCAAAGTGCTAAATGTCATATGTTGACAATAAAAAACATTTTTGTTTATTTTTTATTATTTCATTTTCCTCTGACAGATTGCAGCTTCAGGGGACAGCAAAGAGAAGGTGTTGGTGTTCTTCAAGCTACATCCCACAGTGATCACTGAAGATAACCTTCACCAGAGCCTCCTGGTGTCATCCATGCTAGAGTCTCCCATCAACACCCTCTATCAGGCCATCAGACATGTCTTTGCACCTGTTCTGCTCAAGGTGAACCTGTGCTTGTGTAGTGAAGATTTCCATACACACTTCATCAAATAACAGTGGAAGATTCTGCTAGATCACATAGTCAACTCAAATTAACAGAAAATGTGAGGATATATTGTTTCTGAAACTACTGTTAAGAACATAATTCAAGTTAGAATTAGTGAGAACATTACCTAGAGAACTGAAAGCAAATTCCTGTTAAATATTGCAACACTATTACAATATATTCGTATTCCAATACTAAGTGCTTTCTCTTAAAGCTTTTGAGACATTTTTGTCGTCCAAATAATTTTGCCAGAAAAGTCAGAATTTTTCTTCTCTAAAGGATGATCACTGGTGTTCAGCATTTGACCCTAAGCTGGCAGGCCTGCTTAGTGAGCTGGAGTTTGGCCTGGGCACAGTGGTACGCCAGTCTGGAGTGCAATCCTCAGCCAAGAAGGGCCACACAGAGGAAGATGTTCTTGGTAGGTATAAATATAAATAAAATTAAGGAAATACTTAATCATCACAGTATAACACCAAGTCAGTTAAACTTTAGGGATATTAATCTGTTAATTTGGGAAGCACAAGTGATTGTGAATCAGTTTCATCTGTTTTGGTGCAAATGAAAGTGACAACAGGTAAAATGGAGAGGCAAAAGCAAGACAACCCCCCAAAAGGGAGTGGGTTTGCACATGGTGGCCACAAACAAATGCTCTCGCCTTATCCTTCCTGATTGATTCTTCTCAGGTTTTGTGTTTTGCTAGTGTTCCTGTCACTAATGGTATCATGAGGCAATACCTGCAGTCCAATCAGGTTGCAAAGGTAGTCCAGTGACTCCAAGATGGCACATCCACACGTGCAAACTGAACAGTCAGAAACAGACTCCATGAGGGTGGTGTGAGGCCCAACATTCTCTAGTGCAACCTGTGCTCACAGCCCAGCACCGTGCAGCTTGATAGGCAATCGCCAAAGAACATCAGAATTGGCAGGTCTGCCGTTGGCTCCCTGCTCACAGATGAGAGGAGATTCACACTGAGAACATGTGTGAGCCGTGAAAGCATCTGGAAACACTGTGGTGAATGTTATTCTGCCTGTAACATCATCAAACATGACTGGTTTGATGGTGGGTCAGTGATGGTCTGGAATGCCATATCCTTGGAGGGCTGCAGAGACCTCCATATCCTAGCCAATGGTACCCAGACTGATGTGAGGTACTGCAATGAAATCCTCAGAGCGACTGTCAGACATTATGCTGGTGCAGTGGGCCCTGGGTTTTCTCCTGGTGCAGGGCAATGCCAGGCCTCATGTGGCCAGAGTGTGTGTAGGCAGTTCCTGGATGATGAAGGCATTGATGCCATTGACTGGCCCTTACGTTCCCCTGACTTAAATCCAACTGAGCATCTATGTACCATTATGTATCAGTGCATCTGACACCACAAAGTAGCACCACACTGTCCAGGAGCTCACTGATACCCTGATCCAGGTCTGGGACGAGATGCCCCAGGACACCATCTGCTGACTCGTCAGGAGCATGCCCAGAAGTTGTTGGGAGTGCATACAGGCACGTGGACACACTTTTGAGTCACATTAGGAGTTGCTGTGATACAATTCAAGCAACTTTGATGAGCCTGTGATTTCAGTTTTTCACTTTGAATATCAGTGTGATTTTGACTACAGTCCTCCATGGGTTGATGATTTTGGTTTCCACTGACTGTGGTTATGTCATTTTGTT